ATTAAGTCGCAATTCTGGTAAATTTTCCTATAATCTTTTTTGTATATAATAATCAAACAATCAATGATTTTTTTATAATGATATTTACTTTTTGAATTGATATTTTACTTATTTTACAAATCTCAACTAACAACACTGTAGATTCTTTATAGCACTTGATTAAAACCTGTTAATCGCAAACTATCTAAAGCACACATCTCCGATTATTTGTAAGTTTAGTTTGTATTTCACTAATGTATATATTCCCATTGATATATCGACAAGTTTTAAACTCACCTGTACTGAGATATTATTATCATTGTCTATAGTAAATCTGCGTATCGTGACGAGATTATTAGTGAAAGGATCCCGAACGGTGCCAAATGTATCTTCGGTAACTCTCACCATTTTTTTAAGTATTACGGGAAATTTTGTTAGAATTTGGAAGAGAAGACAAAATTTAATAAAAATTAAAAATTTCTTTAAAAACAAAAACAAAAACTTCAATTCAAAAAGTTGAAAGTTTGAAAATTATTCTTTCAAAAAACTAAGTAGAAGAAATCTTTTCAAGAGCAGCTCCACAAATTGAAATGTGTTTTTTATGTTTAAATTGCACTAAAACAATTGAACAATAATTTTTTTTATTGTTGTTCTTATTGTTGTTGTTGTTTCTTTATTTAATTTTATTTCTGTTTCCTGTTGTTGATGTTAAACGTAGCGCAACAAGCGCACGACTGCCGCTCTTGAATGCATTTTGAGCAATTTTTATTATTGCGGGTAAATCTTATCGAAATCAACAGCAAATAAAAAACTTCAGATGAGAAATAAATAAAAAAATTATATAAAAAATAATGAAAAATAAAATAATATAAAAAATAATATTGCAAGGCAATTAAAAAATAGAAAAACAGTTGCATTTGTTTACATTTATTATCTCTTGAGGTTTACGTAAATAGTAGAAAAAATAATATAATAAAATATATTATTCTCATTATCTCATTTAAATCTAAAAGGAATGGAATATTTTTAGTTGCAGAAAATATTTGATTGATTTTTAATTTTGCATATTGCATATTGCATATTGCATATTGCATATTTAACGCCATGAACACCAAATTTTTATCAATTTATGCCTTAGACGCACCTCAAAGATTTATTGGCCTGTGCAGAATATGGAGTCAAAAAAAGACTGGATTGGATACAATTCCTATAAACCAAATAGTTATAACGCTTGATAAGCCCCTGAACGGAAATCGGAAGTCAACTGCTGTCCAGAGGTAGCTCCGTCAAAAACGAATGCCTTGTTTTCACTATGTTATTTTCAATGTCAAATATTGTCAGTATGAGGAAAACCGGTAATCATATGATGTCATATTCGCATTCTTGTTATGGAATGAAAATGCATTTGACACACCAGTCAATAATAATTGTCTTTTAAAATGACATAGTAATAACAAGGCATTAGAGAACAGTTGGCGCTGAGTTTGTTGCTACATGTACACATACAACATCGTATGTAATACAGTTCTTAACAACGTAAGATCCAAGAGAACTGGAGACGCTCTATGCTCCACCAGAAGCTATGTACCATAAAGAAGAATAAAATAAAAATACTTTTCTTTTTCATTTTTTCTCTACCATCAGCATTATTAAACGTGACAACCCGGAATAGATTTTGACCCTCTCTATAGTCATATAATATTCTGTTCTATCGCTGGCAGAGTTTTCAAGTAATGATTACTTTTGAATTTAAGTTTCAATATCAATACTCATTTGATGTTATTGTAATTTGTGAAGAGAATACGATTCGCTAGTGAATGATATTAGGTTAAATTGCCAAGAATTTCCAAATTTTTATTTAAAGAGATAATAAGAATTTTTATGGGGTCTTATTTCATGCTCAGCAGTCGTCTCACATAATATGTCAACTATCTTATTCTCTATGAGTTGCTAGTGAATGTTTTCTGGCTTGGTTTCAAGTGGCAAGCATTCTTAGGTCTTTATTTATACAGTTAATAAGACGTGTTTTAGTGGTCATCTATGTTTCTTATGTCTCGATTGATGTATAGAGTTATTCTATATATGAATCACTGTGATTAGACTTGTCGACAAATATTGTGGGAAAATATGGTATTTCTCATGCTTTTTCAACTAGTCAACAGTTGTAGGTCTTCATTACTTTTAAGCGTGTAGTTTTCATGTGTGGGGACTTACTCCAAAAATTATAATTCAAACCTTTGTTTCATTTATACACAACAAATATATTTTCTAAGTGGATGCTATATTTGTAAAGTAACTTAACCAATTACGATGCACTTTCGCACATTCATCAACATATATCCATATTATTGGCATCTTCGGATTCGTACTTTAGGTGTAGCTAAATGGGCAACTATAACAGTTGTCCTCCATTAAACTGTGTCAGAAGTTATATTTCATATCGAAAGGAGATAATAATAAAAATTTTTTCTGATGCAAATAAATTTAAGTTGGTCACGTTCAGCATAGCCTTAATAGAGAAAGGAGGTTTCCAAATGAAGAACATTGAAATGAGTTCTATTTTGAAGACTATTTCTTGGTTTTACTCTTCTCTCTGACTTTCTTTAAGGCACTAATAAGGATAATTTGAGGAGTATTTAATATATTATATTAGAGCATGTTTTTTCTTCAAATTAGAACAACTTTAAACTGTCGAAATTAGATTAATAAATATTATATTAAGAGTCTTATGGGAGCTTCTGTAATGAATCTATGAGACTTTTTTTTTATTTTTGAAAATCAAATAAAATTGAAACATTCGTTCAATATACAATTAAATTTTTCTGCTACTTTTTTATCTTTATATATAAACTAAACTTCAACTTTTAATCAATCAGTGAATCACTTAAACGTTTAGCCTCTTGAGTGTCTTTCACATATATATTTTACTTGTCATAATTAACTTAATTAATTTGAAGTTTTAATAATGAAATTGAAATAAAAGTGAGATTAGAGAAAACTAATCTGAAGTGTTTTAATTGGTTTTGATGGCTTGAAAGATAACTACCAAAGGTACTTTCTATCAAAGGTGCTTATTATTTAATAAAGAAAAACTTATTGTTATTGATATAATGATTGACATGTTAATTGATTTATCAAATTAAATTCAGTTTTCACAATATGAAAATTTTGGAGAAGAAAACTAAATTTTCAAGCATGTTAACGTAAACAAAAACATCAGGAAATATTCCATTAACTTTAAACAAATAAATTTGAGTCAAACAAAGGACTTTTGCAAATGTCAATTCTAATTTATTTATTATTATTTTCTTGTTATCTAAATAAATTCAAATTATATTTATAAATTTTTGTATAAACTCTTCGCAGCAAACCACAGATCCGCCCTGGAAGTCCGCCTGTTGTGGCTATTCGAGCTATTCGGGTTATTCTGGCTATTCTGGCTCGGCCTCGCAATGACGACACACACCAAATTTATAAATCACTTCGTGATTGTATTTTTCGCCAGGATTTAAAATGATGGATGGAAAATTTGGCTATGGAAAGGGAAGAAATAAACACATAAGAAAGAAATGAAAATAAATTAAACACCAAATGGAAGTGTATGAAAAACAATACGCATATCGTTTCGTACAGCGGAAAAGGATATCATGGCGAAGATATTATCGGAAACAATTACAGGATTTACGCAATGTCAGTTTGTCAGTATTTGACAGCTCAATGAAGTCAATAGGATTGCATGTGTTTATGTGGAGTACGTATCTGTGCAACTTACATGATTGACAGCATCGGGATATTTTTGTGTCTCAAGACAAAAAGCGCCATGCTTATGGTATTTGGCGCCAGATTTCCCTTCAATTGGTGGCTGTGAATTAGTAAAAGTAACTTTGGTTAGTAAATGTCAAAAAAAAGTACTTTTTATTGTTAATGAAGAAGTATTTTGAAAATTGTTAAAATAAAGAAAAATTTTTATATTAAATGAATTGATTTTTGTTATAACAAATATTCCAATCAATTTCATTAAGAGAAATGTACTCAATATTCGATTGTCTCCTGTTAGTCAATCAAACGTAACCAGCTATGTAGACTGAATTTATATTCAAGCTTTTTGAAGTAGACACTCGTATCCTTACCACAATTTTTGGCTTAATTCATGCACTTTTGTTGCAAAAATGTTTTATTGTTGGAACGTGTGCTTGTTAAACATATGGCATATTGTTTTTTAGTCGTTCTCGTTTGTTTAGGTTTTGTTTGAATACAAAACAAAACCAAACCGAACTCAACAAAGCAAAGTGGCAAATGGTTTCAATTGTTCTCCTTACCCACAAATATTTCCATTGTACTTGCCGCAGGCAAATGCATTTCAACTATGACAAAACCAACAACAATGAATGCAATATTGTAAACAGTAAGGCTACAGCTCCAACAATAAGTACGGAAAATAAGCACAATGCTACAGTCAATTGCCAATCCTATTTTTGATAACAAAAGTGCGCAATATTGGCAGCAATTTCACTTTAAATGCCCAAATTTGGGCACACATGGCGTATGCGTGCTGTTTTGGAACTTTAAACGGAATTTGCACAGTGCATGGCACACGGTGCACGGTGCACGGTACGATGCAGTATCTTAAATTATTAAATTCATTTTTCAAATTTTATAATATTCTTTAAATTTCTATTTCTTTAAAGTAATGTAATGAAGTAGAAAGCAATAACCTTTTCAGTGTTTACATAGGCAAGCAATTTAGGCTCAAAGTCCGTAAATACCAAGCAGAAAAAAGTTTTAATTGCCCTAGGCATTATGCAGAATAATACCTTTTGTAATTATGCATTTTCGGAAAATAAAAGTTATTTCAGGTTTCTATTTCCGCATTGTTAAAACCCTTTTTGTATTGCTTTTTTTTTCTTTGTTTTTCAGGGATAAAATGTTTTTGCTGAAACTTTTTTAGTTTCTGCCCGATTGGTTTATGAAGTACAAGGAGCTGCGCTTGCATTTCTTGTTGTGTTTTTATTATTGCTTAAACAATTTAATTAAATTTGCACGTCCGAATAAGTTTAGTATGGCAAAAGGTTTATATAACAATGGTATCAACCAACTTTCAACCGAATAAGGAGCAATGCAATTTCAATCGAGTTCTACGCATCACTGCTTAGATTTTAATTTTTTTTTTTTTTTCATCAGTTAATAGTTTTTCATACCTCCGTTACATCTGGCATAAAATTTGAAGTGTAAAATTGTACGCCTGGTTGATTGCTTGCAATTTCCAACCATCTACCACTGCCGGGGTGAAATGCTCTGCATTGAGAAGAACGAGAAAAAAAGGTAGGATTTATTCGAGTTTCTCATAACAATTTTAGCAATGCAAGCAAATGCATTCACAAGAATAGTGGATTCGCTGTTTTTACTTCACTTACTTGCCGATCACTGTTATGCCATTGTTGATCAACTCCACGCAATAGTTATCATCATAACCCCTTGCAGGTAGCAGTTTCTTCAGGCGTTCACCTAAATTTCCAGTTGCACGCAAATCAAATGGAGTGCCTTGTACCGCGGTTAGCTGTCCGGTGGGTATTGAATCTGCATCCGTCTCGGTGATGTCGTTTGCATTAATTTTAATGGAATGCGCATATATTTCAGTACTGCCAGAAGCCTTAAATAAACATGAATAAGTTTGGGTTATATTTTTTCAACACCAAGAAAAGTTAGTCGATATGCAGGTGTTAGGCAATGGGCGTTAAACGCTAACTGAAATTTTTATAAACGATGCTTTTAGCAAACTCTTCTACTTTGCTTTTAATATAAAAACAAATTAATTGTTGAAGAACTGTTATTTTTATACTAATATTATAAAGCAGAAATTCTGTAGGAATACGATATTGATGATTCAACTTATGTTTACTAAAAAATTCATCTACTTATATATATTTATTAAATTTTAATAGCTATTTGTTGTTACTTTGTTAGAGTTCCAGACACCTGTAATTGATTGCTGTGTATGAAATTATAGTTACATATTGACTAACTAAGAGACAGTCGAAAGCAATATATTAAGATTTAAGCATCAGCTATATTTTTTGGGCCTAAAGATGCACAGTTAGTTGAGTGATCCTCTCTTCATTATCAACAGATAATATAATAATCATATAATCAACAGATAATATACTACGAAAATACTGTCAAAAGAAATATTTCCAAATATATTCGCCTTCTTGGCGCAATCCGAACTAGGCTACTGTATGATACCACGACTAAATGATAATCATTTCGAATTTTTCGAAACTTAACAAAATGATATTAGAGTAGCTTAAAGTAAAGTAAACTCTCAACCTCTATATATTTTTTAATTAATAGTGGGTATTAAGCTAGCACTATAAGGGATATGTTAAAATGCAGTCCTCAACTATACATTTTCGGGTTATATAGGGAGTATTGTAACTAAGTGAAGTACTCTTTCGATTATTCAAAACATAACAAAATCATTATAATAAATAATTTGTGAGAAGGTTAAAGTAGTAGTAAGACATCTGCATCTATGTCTGTTTTAATTAATGGTTGCTATTGTTCTAACCAGAGACATACTAAAGCAATACCTTAAGATTTAAATAAGATAAATTTTTGAATTAAATATATCGACATTGGACAAAGGGAAGACTCTTTCCGATTAATTGATATAAACAAAATTATTATAACATATAATATTTTATGGGAGAAGCTCTGTACTATCTTCTCTACTTGGTGGTTGCTATTGTGCAACTTTAATTTCAGGTTAACGATATACATATATGCCATATATCAAAAAATTCTTTTACATTCCATAATCTTCTTCCATGTATGTCTTACAAATTTATGCGATAATTTCAAAATAAATTTCATATTTTACTTCAAATAATTTATTTGCTGATCATAAAATGTCATCAGCAGGTCTTAAATGGACATAAGAGAAGCAATTTGAAGTTTTATCATTTCCTTCCCTAATGACATTTCATATCCTGCTAACAATTACAATTTGTGGAATATTCACAATCTGCACCCATCCACACTGCTGCCTCACACTGCTGTCTGAGCTCTCATATATTTATTGTACGAGTATGTCAAATATTGCAGGTTACTTACATGTCCAGCCAAATTGAAATACGTGTGATTTGTCA